ATTTCACGAAAACTAAAAAATATGACAATTTCAAAATAAGGTCCAGAATGAACAATGCAGACATTCCTGGCTCTAAAATAACATTTTCTTTGTTCATTAGTCATGTCTCCAGGCCCCTCTGATATTACTCTTGCTTTCTATTTTGAATTTTTATTCAAACAAAAAATAGATGACTTACTATTATGCAGACTACTGCAATACTGTAATAATTGTATAAATAACATCAACCCATTCATGACTGCATATTAGAATGGCTAGTTGGACATTTGTTGGACAATGGCATCATTTGTTTACTTTTGAACATTGGCAAAAATCAAACATTTCCCCTACTTTGAGCTCCATTTCTAGGTTCTTTTTATAGTAAAATCAATCAAAATCACCTCTATTTCTATAATATGTTTTTCATTCTATCAAATGAGACCAAGAAAACGAGAATACAACCATAAATACTATACGAAAATAGACCACAAAGTCGGCATTTTAATTAAAAAAACGGTCGGAGTTTTTTTTTTCTCATTATGCACTGCGTGCTCCAGGATTTTTTTTATATGGTGCACACTGACCACACAGACCCATTCTCTCACATGTGGGCCTACCAGCTTTCTCCTGCTTGATTTGAAGCCACTAGAATTTATGAGTATATATACGTCAAACACTGTACCTTGTAAGACGTATATATACGGCCGCGACAGTCAAAGGGTTAACCCTTTCAGGGTCGACAAGCCCTCTCAGAGACTTGTTCTCAGGGTCGGCCAATTTAAAAAAAAAAAACAATTATTTTTTCTTATGAAAAGATAGAGAATCTTTTCCCGATCATAATGACACCAAAAGTATGGAATTTGATGGAAAACTTACGGAATTATGCTCTCGCAAAGTTAGCAGTCTCGACGATGTTTACGCATCGGCAATTTTGCCCACTTTGAGCCCTATTTTCGACCAATTCAGTGTACTTGTCGACAAAAATCATAACTATTTTGCTAGAACTCCATTTTTTTTATCGACTGAGTACAAGAAACCGCCCATTTACCTATTTCAACTATCTAATACAGTGGTCGGAATTTAGCAATTTTGCCAATTTCACACAAATTTCAAAAGATGCCAATTTCCGAATAGGGTCCAGAATAAACAAGAAAGACATTACTGGCACTAAAATAACATTTCCTCTGTTCATTAGTCACGTCCCCATGCCCCTCTTACATTCTTATGCTTTCCACTTTGAATTTTTATTCTCACAAAAAAAATAGATTTACTGTTATGCAGACTACTGAATTGGTGTAGAAATGGTATAAATAATATCAGCGCACTTGTGAAAGAATATTAGACTCACCAGTTGATGTGTATTGGACGCATAGCATGATTTGTTTACTTTTGAACTTCAGTAAAAATCAAACATTTCTGCTACTTTCAGCTCAATTTCAAGGTACTTTTCTTTGTAAAAACAGTCAAAATCATCTCTATTTCTGTAATATGCCTTCCATTCTATAAAATGAGACCAGGAAAACTAGAATACAACAATAAATACCATAGGAAAATGCAGTGCAAAGTCGCTGTTTTAATCCAAAAACACGGTCAACGTTTTTTTTTCTCATTATGCACTGTGTGCTGCAGGATTTTTTTATACCGCGCACACTAACCACATAGACCCATTCTGTCATATGTAGGCCTACCAGCTTTCTCTCACTAGATTTGAGGGCGCTAGAATTTGGGCGTACTAGTACATCAAAAACCCTGGCTCGTAAGCCATACTAGTAAGGCCAAAACCCTGAAAGGGTTAATGAAAGTTCTTCTTAGGTAATAAGATTTAAAGGCTGCAATTACACCTTGGTCCATCAGCTACAGTAATGAAGTTGTGTTTGCAGGTATAAAAGCAACATTTATCTCTTTGTACATACCATTTAGAGCTGTAGAGTGGGCAGGGACTTTGTCTGAAACAAGTAAGTCATTGAAAGGAATTTTCTTTTCCTTGTAGTAAGCCACAACTGTAGGCTTAAAATAGTTCGTGAACCAATTTATGAAAAGATTGGCAGTCATCCAAGCTTTTGAATTGCCTTTATAATAAACAAGGAGGCTACGTTTTGCATAGTTCTTTAGGGCCCTAGGATTCTCTGAGTGATAAGTCATCATAGGTTTTAACCTGCAATCACCAGCTGCATTAGCTCCTAGCAAGAGTGTTAGCCTGTCTTTTGCAGCTTTGAAGCCAGGCATTGACTTCTCTTCTTTAGCAGTAAATGTCGTAGATGGCATCTTCTTCCAAAATAATGCAGTTTCATCCACATTAAAAATCTGTTGCTTGGTATATCCATCAGGTTCTATTATCTTGGCTGGCTCATATAATAATTTTCTGCAGCTAAATTGTCAGCGCTTGCAGCTTCACCCTACACTCTGATGTTATGAAGTTACCTCTTTCCTTAAACCTATTAAACCAGCTTCTGCTAGCTGCGAATTTGTCTTCAGCAGCCTCCTCACCTCTCTCAGCCTTAGAATTGAAGAGACTTAGGGCCTTGGACTGCATAATGGCTCGGCTTAAAGGCACATTGTGACTAGCCTGATCATCATTCCACACCATTAAAAGTTTTTCCATGTCAGCAATAAGGCTATCACATTTTCTTATAACTTTAGTGTTCACTTGTGTAGCATTTTCAATTTCCTGCAACACTTTCTCCTTATTGTTCACAATTGTACTAACTGTATGATGAGCCAAACCAAGCTTACATGCTATCTCAGTCATAGACATACATATATTCACTCAGTTTAATCATTTCTAAATTGGCACTTAAAGTAAGAGGCTTACAACTCCTCTTTTTATCACAGCTAAGCTTAAATGGCATTGTCAGTGAGAGCCAACTAGTTAACGAAAGAGTAAACGAGAGAGGAAACGAGATACGGAGTTCAGACAATGTAAGAACACAAACTGAACAGGTGGTGGGTGATCACTTTTATTCTATCGAGTGAGTACAAGAAACTGCCCATTTACCTATTTCAACTACACAGTAAAGTGATCAGAAATTATTAATTTGGCTAATTTCACACAAAATTCAAGAGATGCCAATTTCAAAATAGGGTCCAAAATAAATAATGTAGATATTCCTGGCACTAAAATAACATTTTCTCTGTTCATCAGTCATGTCTCCAGACCCCTCTTATATTAGGCTTGCTTTCCATTTTGAATTTTTATTCACAGAAAAGATGGAAGATTTACTGTTATTCAGACTACTGCATAATAGTAATAATTGTATAAATAATGTATGCATTTGTGAGTGTACATTAGACTCACCAGTTGATGTGTATTGGATGTATTACATGTTTTGTTTACTTTTGAACATTGACAAAAATCGAACATTTTCACTAGTTTGAGTTCAATTTCAAGCTCCTTTTAGTCTGTAAACCATTCAAAATCATCTGTATTTCTATAGTATATGTTCCATTCTATCAAATGAGAAGAATACAACCATAAAAACCATACAAAAACACACTGCGAAGTCACCGTTTTACACCAAAAACACAATCGCAGTTTTTTTCTTATGAACTGTGTGCTACAGGATTTTTTTATACTGCACGCTGACCACTCAGATCCATTCTCTCATATGTAGACCTACCAGCTTTCTCCCACGAGATTGGAAGCCACTAGAATTTTGGCGTATTACAGGACCAATCCTGGCTTCAAAGCCGTAATATTGCAGGACAGACCTCGAAAGGGCTAAGTGATCAATACAGCTGGGCATAGAAAAACAGATAAAAAAGTAAAATAAATACACAGTACATACAACATTTACCTTAAAATATGGCACCGGTCACCCTTCCCTTACACAACTACAGCCTCTCCTCACTTAACGATGGAGTTCCATTCCTAAAACCACATTGGCAAATGAATTTGTCACTAAGCAAGGAGTGTACTGTAATGGTACGTAGTGGGTTTGTGTCAACCATCTTTGATATTGTTTCAATGTCACCTTTGCACCATTTATATCATTTTTAGTATATTTTTAAATGTTTATACAGTAGTGTACTCTATATTGTAATAAACAGAATACAGGAAATCAGCTCTAATATACATTATTTAGGTATGCAGGCTGGTCAGACAGCCTGTCTTAAGTCCGAGTCATCGGTAAATGAGTACATCGCTAAGTGAGGAGAGGCTGTATTGTACAAAAATGGCAGAAAAGTGGTAAAAGCATCGAACATAATGAACGGTGGCTCAGTTGAAAGCCAAAGAAAGCATGTAACACTGAAAAGAGGGGGCTGTGTATGTGGGGCCCTGTGGTATACTTAACCAGTAAGCTACTGTTGTTAGGTAAGACACATATGCAACAGTTAGGTATCTTTATTTCGAAACGTTTCGCCTACACAGTAGGCTTCTTCAGTCGAGTACAGAAAAGTTAATAGAAGCAGAAGATACTTGAAGACGATGTAATCAGTCCATCACCCAGATCAGATCACATCTGACTATGGAACAATGCTCTTCTCCAGACTGAGGGACTGACCACCTCAAAACTTCAAGGGTGATGGACTGATTACATCGTCTTCAAGTATCTTCTGCTTCTGTCAACTTTTCTGTACTCGACTGAAGAAGCCTACTGTGTAGGCGAAACGTTTCAAAATAAAGATACCTAACTAACTGTTGCATACGTGTCTTACCTAACAACCTGTCGGTATTTTATACCATTTTAATGTTCAGTAAGCTACTACAAGTTATGTTAGATTGTGCAAGGAGATTCACAGTGTCAGTTTAGCTGTATTTTTTTTTTTGTGCCATCTAAACCTTGTGGTTGACTCTCTTTATATACAAACACTTTTGGTGTATGAGCATTTATTTGGATAAACAGTTTATCAAGTGACCACTGTATTATACATTGTGCAAGGGACTGTGCTTTTAAAAGTAATTTTAACATGCATAAGTTTTACATTTAAGGCTGTATGAAAGTATTAACTATAGTGCAACATTTACAAAACATCACATTCCATTAATTTTCTTGCACTAATTAACTTATTATAATTTTCAGTTCCCCATCAGTTGTAGAGATTGTGGTAGCCCTGGAACAATATGAGAGGAGCAACTCAGGTCGCTTACCACCTGACATGGAGAAAAAGTTGAGGATGTCATATAAGAGGACTGTAAAGAATTCCCCTGACCCATTCAAAGTAATATATATATTTTAATTATGTCATTAAATCCAAATTGTTTCTTATAGATGTTTAAATATTATTTTATTCATTTTGTCATTTACTGTATATTTCGTTATATTTCTGTTTGGGAACCATTCCCTTGGAAAATAAAATGCTTCTAATGGTGACCCTCAAAGCTATGTATATGCAGAGTGGGAAAAGATATGAGTATGCAAACAAGTAAATAAGTAGCTCAAAGCTAGTATAAAGATAAAAAACAGTTAAATGACAAGGAAAATTTAGTCAAAATTAAACTATACTTATGTAAAGAAACAGGATGAAATGGAGGAAACAGCACCACAGGAAAGGAAATGCCATAAATTGATGCAAGATCATTGGAGAAATAAACAACCCAAGCAGAAATAAAAAAAAATATAAAGCCAAAAGAGTGCAAAATATTGAAATATTCCAAAGGAACATGTAGATTAGGAAATATCTGTATAGCAAAAGGAGCAAAATTAAAGATGCTAATATCTCAGACAGTGCATAGATATATTATGAATGGAACACTCCTGAATGATGGAGGTATTACTCAGAAACTTCTAAGCCATTGCAGTGACCTAAGATACTCAGATATTCATGTGAAAGCAAGCATATAAAATAACTACAGTACATACATGAAAAAAAATAGCAACTTATTTTGGGAGTAGAGGTAAAAGGGCATTATGCAGGAAAGCAGAAAATTAATTGCAAATGAGTACTAGACATGAAAACACAATCATCCGTAGGTATGGGACTTCCAGCAAGTGTGTGTGAAGGTGTTAGATAGGAGTGAATAGAGACGAATGGTTTCCGGGACCTGACAAGCTGTTGGAGTGTGAGCAGGGTAATATTTTGTGAAGGGATTCAGGGAAACCAGTTAGCCGGACTTGAATCCTGGAGGTGGGAAGTACAGTGCCTTCACTTTAACCCTTTAACTGTCCAAACATTGATCTATGTTCTTCTACTAGCACTCCAAACGTAGATCAATGTTTTATTTTTCCTGCCCTCAAATTTGGTGCCAGAGGCCTGATAGGCCTAGGCAGTATAGACTGGGTTTAACGCTCATTGTGTGCAGCATTAAAAAAAAAATCTGGGACTACTTAGTACCTTGTGGGTGCACCAGTTCAATTGAGCACCAAGGATTTACTAATGCCATGTCATATATAACATTCCTTTTGGGAGGAAAGTGTTCTTGACCCCAAGTTTAGTGGCTTTGAGATGAATGTGGCCATAAGTGGTTGAGGAAATATCAAAATCCTAGATAATAACCCATTTACAACATTTGTGCCACATCCTGATGCAGTTGTAGTGTCATCCTGCCAAAATGTCCTATCACCTATACCCTAAGTAGAGAGAGAGAGATGGTTCTGCAACATGTGTAATACATATTCGGCTCCCTGGTTGGTTAGCTGGCTAGCTGGTTGGATGACTTTGACGGGCTGGCTAGATGACTCTGGCTGGCCGTCTCTATCTCTGTCTAACTTTGTCTCTGTCTCAGAGAGAGCTGCTTAATGAGCCAGAATCAAGGGCTAAGTAAGTTTATTCAGGCACAGGTACATGTAAGTACAGTTATCATACATAGTATAAATTACCTAGGGTAACCCCAAAAAACCAAAGTGCTATACATGAACTGTGCTTGTAGATATAAGGCATAAGCATGACTGGCAAGTAATACACATTTCTACATGTTCAGCTGTGATGATTCTGCAACATGTATAGTACCTGTTGGTTCATGAGTGGCTCTCTCTGAGAAAGACAGAAAGCAGACAGAGAGAGTAAGACTCAGACAAGTAGATAGAAAGAGAGAGAAACAAACAGCAGAGAGACAGGCAGAGAGAGAGAAAGACAGAGATAGACATGTTTATGTGTGTGGAGCAGTGAGAACAAATAGATACATATGCCAAGGTTCACCAGTGTAAGATGAGCAGTATTGAGTGACTGCACTATCAGCAGTGTAGAGTAACACTCTTTTCTGACACTGTGCTTCAAGGAGTTTTGTATATTTCTGAAAACATTGCTGGGACATGTAATAATTTGTATATACAGTGGATCCCCGACCAACGAAGGCATAGTCTAATGATAAATTTGACTAACGAAGTGTTTGAGCGTAAAAATTTTGGCCCGACCAACAATGAAAAACTCAACGAACACGATTCGTCCCAAACGCGTCCACGTGTCCTGTCTGGCCTGAGCGTGCCTTAGCTGCCCTGCCTTCAGTTAGTGTGCCAGTATTTACAAGCCAATGCAGTTGCATCCACACATTCATTCAGTACATTTTGTTTATTCCAGCATTTTTAGTGCTTGTAACTGCAAAATAAGCCACCATGGGCCCCAAGAAAGCTTCTAGTGCCAACCCTGTGGTAAAAAGGGTGAGAATTACAATTGAAATGAAGGAAAAGATCATCATAAAGTATGAAACTGGAATGCATCTCTCCGAGCTAGCCAGGTTGTATAACAAACTCCAATCAACCATCGCTACTATCTTGGCCAACAGAAAGGCAATCAAGGAAGATGTTGTTGCAAAAGGTGCAAGTATGTTTTCGAAACACAGATTGCAAGTAGTCGAAGATGTTGAGATACTGTTATTGGTGTGGATAAACAAAAAACAGATTTTTTTTTTTTTTTTTTTTTCAACAAGTCGGCCGTCTCCCACCGAGGCAGGGTGACCCCCCCCCAAAAAAAAAAAAGAAAGAAAATCCCCAAAAAGAAAATACTTTCATCATCATTCAACACTTTCACCACACTCACACATTATCACTGCTTTTGCAGAGGTGCTCAGAATACAACAGTTTAGAAGCATATATGTATAGAGATACACAACATATCCCTCCAAACTGCCAATATCCCAAACCCTCCTTTAAAGTGCAGGCATTGTACTTCCCATTTCCAGGACTCAAGTCCGACTATATGAAAATAACCGGTTTCCCTGAATCCCTTCACTAAATATTACCCTGCTCACACTCCAACAGATCGTCAGGTCCCAAGTATCATTCGTCTCCATTCACTCCTATCTAACACGCTCACGCACGCTTGCTGGAAGTCCAAGCCCCTCACCCACAAAACCTCCTTTACCCCCTCTTTCCAACCCTTTCGAGGACGACCCCTACCCCTCTTTCCTTCCCCTATAGATTTATATGCTTTCCATGTCATTCTACTTTGATCCATTCTCTCTAAATGACCAAACCACCTCAACAACCCCTCTTCTGCCCTCTGACTAATGCTTTTATTAACTCCACACCTTCTCCTAATTTCCACACTCCGAATTTTCTGCATAATATTTACACCACACATTGCCCTTAGACAGGACATCTCCACTGCCTCCAACCGTCTCCTCGCTGCTGCATTTACCACCCAAGCTTCACATCCATATAAGAGTGTTGGTACTACTATACTTTCATACATTCCCTTCTTTGCCTCCATAGATAACGTTTTTTGACTCCACATATACCTCAACGCACCACTCACCTTTTTTCCCTCATCAATTCTATGATTAACCTCATCCTTCATAAATCCATCCGCCGACACGTCAACTCCCAAGTATCTGAAAACATTCACTTCTTCCATACTCCTCCTCCCCAATTTGATATCCAATATCAGGATATCAGATATCAGATATCAGGAGATAACATCTCTCAAGCAATCATATGTGAAAAGGCAAGGCAGTTGCATGACGATTTAATAAAAAAATGCCTGCAACTAGTGGTGATGTGAGTAAATTTAAGGCCAGCAAAGGATGGTTTTAGAGATTTAAGAATCGTAGTGGCATACATAGTGTGATAAGGGATGGTGAGGCTGCCAGTTTGGACCTCAAGTCCTCATGGAAGGGGATTCCCCTTCCAAAAAATAATAACGTCCATCATCTCCCCTCCTCCCATCCCATCACTCATCACCACATCCTCAATAAAGGTAAGTGTCATTTATTCTTCATTACACAATATACATATGTATACATGTATTGTGCATCTATCCTTCTGTTTGTGTGTAGGAAAATGTATATTTCATATGGTAAATTTTTTTTTCTTCATACTTTTGGGTGTCTTGAACGAATTAATTTGATTTCCATTATTTCTTACAGGGAAAATTAATTCAACCAGCGATAATTTTGTCTAACGATGAGCTCTCTGAACGGATTAATATCATTGGTCGAGGGTCCACCGTATTTCTAGACAATAGTATGTGACCAAGGCAGGTGAACGTGTTCACTTGTCAAGTGTGTTTGTGACTGATTACTATTTCCGTACCTAATATTAGTGTCAGAACGAAGATTGGCTATAAAATCACAAGAACTGCTATAAATTGTAATTATCAGAACATAAAAATAATGTAAATTTAAAAAAATGAGGGAAAAAGCTGCATAGGCAACATTTCTGCAAACTGCAAGACTCCATGTTGCTGTTGCATGATCACTTAATGCCAACTTCGCTGCCTTATATCTCAATAAGTACCTACCCCTAATTTTCTTTTTGTATCTTATTACACACAGAAAGTTGCCCTCTTTTTTTTTTTTTTTGAGTGCTAGCAGTGACAACGTAGATCAACGTTTGGACAGTTAAAGGATTAAAAGAGGAGTTTGGGTTATTTGCTGTTTGGAGTGACATCTGAACTGTCATATCTGCATGCTTCCACAAAGACAATGATTATTTGTGAATGATGGTGAAAGTGTATGTTTCTTTTTTTTGGCCACCCTGCCTTGGTGGGAGATGGCCAGCATGTTGGAAAAAAAAAATATGATCACTGTAGTGAGTACAAATGAACACATCCAGACTGTTGCCTGAGTTAACCCTCTGACTGTTACAAGCCCTTTTCTGAAACTGTCATTCTATGTCGCAAAATTTTTGGAAAAAAAAAAAAAAATTTCTTATCAAATGACAAAGAATCTTTTCCCAATGGTAATGACGCCAAAAGTACAAAATTTAGTTGAAAACTCAAGGAATTACGCTCCTGCAAAGTTAGCGGTGTCGGCGACATATACGCATCGGAGATTTTGCCGAATTTGAGCCCTGTTTTTACCCAATTCCGTTGTGCCAGTTGACCAAACTCATAGCTATTTCTTTAGAACTCCATTTTTTCTATCAGTTGAGTACAAGAAATTGCCCATTTACTGATTTGAACTGCCCAATAAAGTGGTCAGAAATTGGCAATTTGGCCAATTTCATGCAAATTAAAAAAGATGCCAATTTCAAAATAGGGTCCAGAATAAACTACATAGACATTCTTGGCACTAAAATAACATATCCTCTGTTCATTAGTCACATCTGTAGGCCCCTCTTTTATTATTATTGCTTTCTATTTTGATTTTTTATTCATACAAAAAATACAAAATTTACTGTTATGCAGACTACTGCATTATTGTAAAAATGGTATAAATAATATCAGTTCACCAGTGAAAGAATATTAGACTCCCTAGTTGACGTGTATTGGACGTGTGGTGTGATTTGCTTACTCCTGAACATTTGTAAAAATCGAACATTTGCGCTACTTTGAGCTCAATTTCAAGGTCGTTTCCATCGTAAAACTAATCAAAATCATCTCTATTTCTGTAACATGTTTTCCATTTTATCATGTGAGACCATGAAAACAAGAATACAACGATAAATACTGTACGAAAATACACCTCAAAGTCAGCGTTTTAATCCAAAAAAACGGTCTGTTTTTTTTCTCATTATGCACTGCGTGCTGCAGGATTTTTTGTGGTGCACGCCCACCACTGAGACCCATTCTCTCTCATGTAGGCCTACCAGCTTTCTCCCTCTTGATTTGAAGCCGCTAGAATTTACTTGTATAAATACGTCGGAAACATTGGCTCGTAAGACGTATATATACGACCGAAACAGTCAAGGGGTTAAGGAGAATAAGCTAGGAATTAATGTGAGAGTTAAACCTTGTGTTATTGAAGGAATGTAGAACAGCATACATAATTCTTAAAGAGGATAGAAAGGATATAAATGAAAATAAGAACAAAGATTACAGGGATATTAGTAATTATTTCTTCAACATCAAAGAAAAAAATGGAAGCCGCTGATTAATGACACAATGGAGGAAGACCACATGCAGGGGGTTCCAAAGTAGCTGATAATACTAGTTCACATCAGTTGACTGAAAGTAATGAGATGGGACCCAGAGCTAGCAAACTGAAATAGGTGTTGACAAATTGGTAATTATGTGACATCTTTTTGAGTATATGTGGCCAATATGAAACCCTTAACTAGTAAAGCATGAGGTGATTTTCAGAACATTTTCTTATAGTAAGTTAGGGATTTTCTGAATGATTGCTGTATTGAAAGTAGCCAAAGAAGAGAGCTACCAACATATGATAATATGCCACAGTCATATAACTGGTCAGCTGTAGGCAAATTGATTACTTTCCTGGATTTACCTTTATCTTATGTGTGTTATATACATACAGTAGTCAGACCCCCAGATTTACTTGTTTTGGTTATCCAGTATTTTTACTGACATTTCCTGTGAATCATTTACCCCTCAAGGGAGATTCCTTGGATCAGACCTGATTATCCCCTGATCCCCCAGAAGTTGTATGACCCCTGTGAGTTTAGCACTAATGCATGAATTTATAAACTCATGCCCTTAGAGCACGTGTTCATATATTTTTTTTAGTTTAAAAATTTCCTTTCTTTATTTTTTTTATTTTATCATGAGTTCTTTCAGTATTTTGTGTTATTTCCTCAATTTTTCCTCTGTGTCTCAGCCTGTTTAGTCACCCTTTTTATATGCAGGAAATCAGTACTTAAAGTTTTCATTACTAAACTTTCATCATGAAACTTGAAACTTATTTATGAACAATGTAGATACTGTATGTATTTTCTTTTTTATTATCAGTACAGTGGAACCTCAGTGTATGACCATCTCCCTACTCGAACAAAGCTCAGCACTCGACCAAACTAATATGACCTGCCAGAACTTCACTAAACTATTTCATGTTTCTTCTCATTTTTTGGTGTTTTTTTTTTTTTTGTATTGTAAAAATAAGTCATCATGGGGCCTATGACAGTTACTGATAACAGCCAAGCAAACAGAAAATTGGTTGGGAAGAACCTGTTTGATACTCAGAGTGGCACTCAAGCAGCCTTTTGGAATGAATTGAGGTCGCCTATCGAGGTTCCACTGTAGTTATTTTTAGTAGGAGTTTATCTTCATTAAGCATGTGAGATGTTCCTGCTGGTAAAATTTTTAAATATTAAGTGTGGCTACGGCAAGATAATTCACGGCATTATTAGCTATGTTATTTACGATAGTTGTAACTTTATTGTTGTGGCATTGCAGCATCTTATAAGATGACATTACATTACATATTTTTTCGTTTTTAGCGAGCTGTGTATTGCGTGTTAAGCCGCTGTGACCCACATGAAGACCACGCTGATATTGCTGCTACTACAGATGACTACTTGTGGCTTAAACTGTGTGTGGTAAGTGCAGCATTACTGATAATCTATGTACATTGTGTGTTAAAAGCATTAAGTACTGGGGCAGTTATGGAGTGATATTGTAACAGTGCCTGCACTGAAGGAGGGGTGTTGATATGTTGCAGTTTTTTAATTGTAATGTAGGCATGCCTCTGGCAAGACAGTGATGGAGTGAATGATGATGAAAGTGTTCCTTCTTTTTCAGGTCACCCTGCCTTGGTGGGAAACAGCTGATAGTGTTAATAAAAAAAATTTGTAGCAATGTCATTCCACTACAAAACTTATGCATCTTATTGAGAAGAAATAAAATTTTCTTGTACCATGATTAAAATAAGTGGACCCATAGTCATTGAAAGTACTATAGCTTCTTTGTATTAATTTTTAGTGTTCTGCATGAAATTAAAAGTTTTGTGAATTTTTCTGACTTGAATCTTACATTCCACTGCCATGCTTACATGATGTATCAAAATATTCAGCGTGCTATCCTCTGATATGGCAATGTATCATCATTTTAGAAAATTCATAAAAAATCAATTCTTGCTCCAATATGTCTTTTTGATGGCTTCGATGATGTCTGTTTTCTCAATGGTTTGTTATTCTAACATGTGAAAATGAACTTGTCTGCTAGGGATTTGCAGGCACAGGTTTAAAAAAAATTTGTGATAATTAAATTAAAATAAACTCATGAAATTGTAACGACATGATTGCAAAGAAACCATACCACGGGTGGGATTTGAACCCACAATCAGAGAGTCTCCAAACTCCAGACCGTCGTGTTAGCCACTGGGCCAGCTAACTTCAATAAGATTCATCCAACTAGGTATATTTCTACACCATAGGAAGGTTAGCATAGGCACCACTGTGAGCACAAATGCAAGTTTTTACAGACGAACCTCCCGCTAGCATGGCCGTGATGACCTCTAGCTCAAGTCCCCTCGAAGCTCTCACGAAATCGTAATGACATGATTGCAAACAAACCATACCACGGGTGGGGTTTGATCCCACGATCAGAGATGAATCTCATTGAAGCTAGCTGGCCCAGTGGCTAATGCAACAGTTTGGAGTTTTGAGACACTCGGATCACGGGTTCAAACCCCACCCGTGGTATGGTTTATTCACATAAAACTAAGAACATTTATAAAAGATTTTTCTTCGTCATTTTCTATTAGAAAATAGTCAGTTTCTATTTTCTTGGAAGATAAAAGTTTTTGCATAAGAACAGCAATGTGTAGGAGTGATTTCATGGTCTTTACTATATGAAATGGTAGTCAAACACACACTATTTTTTTTTCTAACACCCTGCGTTACAACAATAGAACTTGGATAACAAATTTATTATCTACAGGAAAACAGTTTTGTGATGTTTTTAAATAATATATAAATGTAAATTGCACTTGTTTACCTGAAGATTCATTAACTTCTTCATGGTAGGTGGACTGTGACAGCTCACCATCTGCTTCAACTTCCAGCAGCAGCAGTGCTCAGCAGGATATTCTATCCCTTACACAGCTTCAGAATCTTCTTTATGAACAGTATGGTAAGCTGTAATATACAGTTACTTGATCTAACAATGTGTATTACTTTTTTCAATATTGTTTTGGTAAACAACTCAGGAAATGGGTAGGATTGAACCCATAGTGAGCCTGTCCTAAAACTAGTGGGAACGGTGTGCTAGCCACTGTCACAGTGCTAACCAGATAATATTCCATGAATTAGGTACAGGAGGACACTGCTTATACAGCAGGTTAGGTTCCGGGCTACTGCCGAAAAGCGAAAATGGCTGTAAATGAAACTTAGCCTTTTTCACTTTCAAATGGAAATAAAAGCCTGATAACATGTTTAAGCTATCATATATTGAGCTAGGCCTAAAAAAAAATGCATATTCAGTATACACATTACTTTCCTTAAAATATTTTTGTCCTTAGCTTATAGTGAGTGGTGAATATATTTATTGTAGGAAGTCTGAATAAATGAAGAATGGGTGTAATTGAAAACTGCTGCCATAGCGAAACACCATAAAGTGAAGTGCTGCAAAGCCAGGCCCTCCTGTAGTCTTGAGTGGTGGCACACAGGTGACATTGAGCCTTAATGGCCTTTCTGAGTAGTGTATAATCTTTAAAGCCCAATTCAGTAATCATATTGCTGTCATTATCTAAAATCTTTGCAGACTGTCACGGCTTATTAGATGACTATGGGCCCCATTATTCAGTCATGAGTCTTCACTCTCTTATCATTACTGAAAATATGGATGGATATTCATATGCAACACAGTTATCATTAGTACTCCATGTAAAAGCTAGCCCCACTTGTTTAACAGGTTAGGTTCCAGGCTACTGCTGTAAAGTGAAATTTAGCCCCCTCCCTTTTTTTTTTTTACTTTCAAATGCATATAAAAGCCTGATAACATATTTACACTATCATATATTAAGTGACCAATAGAGCTAGACCTAAAAAAATGCATATACAGTGGACCCTTGAATTTCGTGATTAATCCATTCCGGAGAGTCTGCCCAAAGTCGAAATTCACGAATTTCAAAAACCGTTTTCCCCATAAGAAATAATGTAAATCCAATTAATCCATTCCAGATACTCAAAAGTATTAACAAAAATTATTTTTTATTGGTTAAATATAGATTTTCATACAGAAAAGAAAGAAAAATCAAGTATAAAACAATAACATCACACTTACCTTTATTAAAGACTCTTGTTGGTGTATGGACGATGGGAGGAGGAAAGAGGGTTAGGGTGATGTTCTTCCACAAATGTTTGTACCTCGCTCCACTTTGCACAAATGCCTTTAATCTTTGAAGAAGGCACCTTCTTCCCTCTCTCTTCCTCCTCCTCTGAAGCAGTTTCCTCAGCTGGTGTAAATAAGAACATAAGAAAGCAGGATCACTGCAGCTGGCCTGTTGGCCCATACTAGGCAGGTCCTTCACAAACCATCCCAATAACAGAATATTTGCCTAACCCAATTTTCAGTGCTCCCCAAGCAATAAGCTTTGATAATTCTGTTCACTCGTGCGCAAGTCCCACTCAAATCAAATCGTGTGTGTGGGGAAGTACCCTGGCTGGTATGAAGAAGTATCCTAGCTGGTGTGTGTTGGGAAGTACCCTGGCTGGTGTACATAAGAACATCAGAAAGCAGGAACACTGCAACAGACCTGTTGGCCCATACGAGGCAGGTCTTTCACAAACCACCACACTAACAGAATATTTGCCCAACCCAATTTTGAATGCTCCCTAAGCAATAAGCTTTAATAATTCTCTTCACTCATGCGCAAGTCCCACTCAAATCAAATCGTGTGTGGAGGAGAAATATCCTGGCTGGTGTGTTCTTTCTTGAATTCTGTCTTGTTTCCTGCCTTCTTTACCAAAGGGCTGGCAATAGGAGCTTTTTTTTGGCCCATGGTGGCCTATTTAGCAGTTGCAAGCACAAAAAACAATGGATTATTACAAAATTTATCGTGAGGTGATGGTCATTCGCCAAGAAACAATGCCACACTGACTCTGAATGGTGTGTGTGGGAGCCCTTGTGTGTGCACAGCCACTGGGAGGCCGCTCAGATGCATTCCGTACGACCGCCGAATTTTGAGGCAAATCGCGAAACGCAAAGCTGTATTTTGACGTTAAAAGTTACCAAACGTCAAAAGTCACATAGCGCAGAGCTCACGAAACTCTGGGATCACTGTATAGTACACACATGACTTACCTTAAAATGTTTTTGTTCTTAGCTTATAGTAAGTGGTGAATAAATTTATTGTAGGAAATCAGAATAAATGAAAAATGGGTATAATTGAAAACCACTCCATTAGTGAAACACTGTAAAGTGAAGCATTGTTAAGTGAGATCTGCCTGTATGTGTTTTATATACAGTAGGGCTCTGCTTTATAGTGTTCCGCTAATATGGACATTTTAAATTATGACCAAAACTCGCTGTACACTCTCCCCCCCCCCCTGACTTTCTAATATGGTCACCACTCCCCACCTGGTTTCTTGACTTTCTCCATGAGCACTGCGTCTCTCCATTATGTCCGGAAACTACCCAAAATTTCAAGTGTTTTAGTTATTTCATGTTTTTATATATACTCTGAAAATTATATATAATTTGTATATACTCTGATAAAGGTAGAAAGTTGAAAGTGAACATAGAAAAGAGTAAGGTGATGAGGGTATCAGATGATTTAGATAAAGAAAAATTGGATATCAAATTGGAGAGGAGTATGGAAGAAGTGAATGTTTTCAGATATTTGGGAGTTGACATGTTAGTGGATGGATGTATGAAGGATGAGGTTAACCATAGAATTGATGAAGGAATAAAGGTGAGTGGTGCATTGAGATATATGTGGAGACAAAGAACATTAACTGTGGAGGCAAAGAAGGTATTATGTGAAAGTATAGTGGTACCAACACTTATATGGGTGTGAAGCTTGGGTTGTAAATGCTGCAGCGAGGAGGCAGTTGGAGGCGGTGGAGGTGTCCTGTCTAAGGGCATTGTGTGGTGTAAATATTATGCAGAAAATTAGGTGTGTGGAAATTAGGAGAAGGTGTGGAGTTAATAAAAGTATTAGTCAGAGGGCTGAAGAGGGGTTGTTGAGGTGGTTTGGTCATTTAGAGAGAATGGATCAAAGTAGAATGACATGGAGAGCGTATAAATCTGTAGGGGAAGGAAAGCAGGGCAGGGGTCATCCTCGAAAAGGATGGAGGGAGGGGGGGATAAAGGAGGTTTTGTGAGCGAGAGGCTTTCACTTCCAGCAAGCATGCATGAGCGTGTTAGATAGGAGTGAATGGAGATGAATGGTATTTACGATCTGACAAGCTGTTGGAGTGTGAGCAGGGTAATATTTAGTGAAGGGATTCAGGGAAATCGGTTATTTTTATATAGTTGGACTTGAGTCCTGGAAATGGGAAGTACAGTGCCTGCACTTTAAAGGAGGGGTTTGGGATATTGGCAGTTTGGAGGATATGTTGTGTATCTTCATACGTATATACTTCTAAGCTGTTGTGTTCTGGGCACCTCTGCAAAAACAGTGATTATGTATGAGTGAGGTGAAAGTGTTGAATGATGATGAAAGTACGTATTTTCTTTTTGGGGATTTTCTTTCTTTTTTGGGTCACCCTGCCTCGGTGGGAGACGGCCAGCTTGTTAAAAAAAAAAATTATGCAGTAGAACCTCTGCTTACGAATTTAATCTGTTCCGTGACCTTGTTCATATCCTGATTTGTTCGTATGCTGGGTTAATTTCCTCATTTAAATTAATGGAAAAGCCATTAATTTGTTACAGTTGAATTCCTGCTCTCAGGAGGCATGACAAAATACTTCAATATTTCACTAATATCAACTCTACGGCTTATTTATCTATCACAATTCATCTAATATGACATAATAAAAAATATTAATAACATAGAAACATGATATATTCTCTAGAATGAATAAGATAGGCAATAACATAGCAAGTGATGGCATTGACGGCAGTGGCGGCAGCATCCGCCATTTACTCTCCTACTGACTATAGTATCTTCCCATGCTCTTATTATAAGAGAAAATGGAGTGTTTGTGAACATAAGAACATAAGAAAGGAGGAACACTGCAACAGGCCTGTTGGCCCATACTAGGCAGGTCCTTTACAATTCATCCCGCTAACAAAACATTTGCCCAACCCAATTTTCAGTGCTACCCAAGAAATAAGGTCTGCTAACTATCCACTAGATAGTTATTAGATCACTATGTAGTTTCATAAGAAAAACAAATGTAAAGAAATAAACTGGTGTATGTAATACTACAGCATTTACTTTGGGGAAGAGATGCTTGCGGAGGTTGATGGTGGAGAGGAGATGCTTGCAGAGGTTGGTGGTGGAAAAGAGATGCTTGCAGAGGTTGATGGTGGAGAGGAGATGCTTGCGGAGGTTGGTGGTGGAAAAGAGATGCTTGCAGAGGTTGATGTTGGAGAAGAGATCCTATCATTAAATTGCTTAACTTAATTGCTACACTCTTAATACTACACTTAATTGCTATACATGTACTCTTATTGCTACACCTTGTCACTGAACTTAGCTGCTACAATTTTCTTGCACTATAGTCTTTGTAGACTCCTGCTTAAGTATTGTGCATATCGTAAAAGTGTTATGCTGGTACGCTACCCTCACACCTCGTTTGTGTTTTTCTACGATTTCAAGCATTACTTCCATAGCCATCATCCTCTTTTTCTTCTCAGCACTGTCCTTTGCACTTGCTTTCTTAGGGCCTATGGTTAGAAAAAAGAAATTTAGCAAAATAACTGCACGAAACATAAGGAAAACACAAGAATTCCTTCCACCGCGAGTATGCATGTGTTGTTGTTGTGGTTCTGAGCCTGCCATCTCGTGGTGGTGTTCTGAAGCTCACATTATTATTATTATTATTATTATTATTATAGTATTATATTATTCTACACATTAGTGTATTATGCAGTGGAACCCCGAGTTTCGAACATATCGACTATTGAACGCTTCAAGTTTCGACTGATTTTTTTTAAACAATTTTGTTCCGACTGTTGAACAT